ATCAAACTATAGACCTCTTGCTTAGCAGGCAGCACACTAACTAACCAAGCTACACTTGCTCCTTAAAACAAATATCACGGTGAGGTCACTGAGGATCAAACTATGGACCTCTTGCTTAGCAGGCAGCACACTAAACTACCAAGCCACATTTGTTCCTTAAAACAATTGTGTGAGGTCACTGAGGATCAAACTATGGAACTCTTGCTCAGCAGGAAGCACGCTATGCAGTTTATAATGTTTCTGTGTTACATTTGGTACTAATACAGTGTACTCTCACCCTACTTAGGAGCATCCATGGTACTCCAAGCTTAAACATATTGCATCAATGTGGCATACACTGATCTGGCAAGACGAGAAGAGATACTTGGTAGCAGAACAGACCAGGCAGTTTTGGGAAGACTGTCCCTCKAAAATAACTGTGAGTGTTCACTTACTGATGAATATTTATATTTGGGTCTGCAATCTTAATAAAAAAGAGTTTTGCATAAAAGAAATATGTGCTTACATTTGTATTTCAAGCAATAGACGCCATTATTTATTATTTTTCTTTTAGGAATGATACATCACATCACATCACATCACATCACATCACATCACATTACATTACATTACATCTTTATTCGCATTTCATTTTATGTTAGATTACATTAAATTATATTTTTAGATCATTGAAAAGAAAGAAAATACGAACAATTGCGCATCATTATTATGGACTTTTTAAAGTTAACAAGCTTTTTAGCCAATCAGAAAGCGTGTTAGGGGCCGTTCATTATTTTACGGGCATGTATTTTTTTTACATGCCCCGATGTTAAAACAGGAGTGACCCCCTTAAATTTACGTGCCCCCTCCCCTAAATCTCACCACCTCCCACATCCCCCCCTCCCCCATGCTCATAATTAACGGATGTAGTTTCAGTTTTAAATCTATTGCCATTTTTCTTGATTTCTTTAGGAAATCTTCAAGGTTTCTAATCGACGACTCCTCAGAAGCAGYAAAACCCACCCTCTCTACCCCTCTAAGTCAGCACGGTTTTCTAGTCCAATGTATGTGCTGTTYGATGACTACTTTGTYCACGTSCAGGTAAGGTTGACATGACMACGTTTTCATCGTTCCCTGCATTTAACTTTACCTTTTTCAAGCCTCCTTTCCAAAAAGCAAATGTAATGTMATGTAATCTCCCATGATATAATCTCCATTGTACTTTTCTATACATGTGTGTTTTTTGTTAATATGTTAAACTTTTTTTTTTCTTTTTCCTAAAACTCCAGAAACCTTGTAATTACTGTTAACTGTGTAATCTCCCACGATGAGCTTAGCTCTTGGAGAGAACATAGAGAGTCAATATGTTTAAATAAATTTTTTAAAAAAGCAAATATTCTTCTTAGTTATTTATCGGCTACTTGGAARTGTTTTCAATATTTCTTTTCCGTAAACGAAATGCTTTTAAAGTGTCAATCAAGCCTACAGGATCTCTTCCTGATTTCAAAGCCCTCATTGAGATAAATAAGAATGGCCTTTACTTTCTTTTTGATATCTCTTTTCGTTGCCGAGATCAGTTCAATGTAGAAATCACGAAATGATGACGTAAATCCTTGAAAAAAAGGCAAATCATCAAATGGAGAATATCTCTGTGAGAATTAGCTCAAAATGCCCGAATCTTATRTTGGTTATYGTTCGCTATGAACACCAAWAGTTTCAGTCATTTTGAACTCTGATTCTACAGATTTGCTGACCACATTTCATTCATAGTCCCACAAGAATTACCAAGCACTACCTCTGAATACATTATGGGCTGTCAGCGTGGAGAACTCAGAGAGTCTAATCAATGCTATAAAGATCATATCACCAGAGGAGACACTACTAGTGTGTGCACCATGTGCTGAGGACAAGGTTAGTAACAGCCCTGATAGACTATCC